CATGTTTAAATACCACATTGTTTCTCTGGTTTGAGAAACTGAAAGTATAAATAAGGACCAAAATATACAATAGATAATGGAAAATGCGAAGAAAATGTTCAAATGAGAGGGGGCAGAAGGGAAGGAAGGAAGGGCCAAGAGAAAGAAGAGAATACAAGGGAAAAAATGGAAACAAAGTTTTTGTAAATAAGGAGGGGAAGGGAGTGTAGGAAAGATAGGGGAGTGGGAAAAAAGAAGAACCAAGATATATCATATACAGGTACAAATTCCCCATGATGAATGTATGTTATCATTATATATATCTAAAATTTACCAATAAAAAAGAGAAAAAAGGCTTATGCAAATCTCACTTTTCATTTTAAAATTTCATCCAAGCTGTAGATATAAACCCAAGTTTCTGGAACTATTAAATATTTGCATTCACATGGATCATTTTTCATACATTGATGCCTATTTTTAGAAAACCTTTTCTCATAATCAGTGTTTTAATTTCCAGAATTTTCCACTAACAGTAAGTGGCATTCTCAGCCAAGAATTATATAATACTACTATTACAATGTATTATTTTAATACATTTTTCAAAAAATGTGTTAAGACTGAAAATTTTAAAAGTAGTTCAATCAATTTTAATAGTTAATAAACTAGTTGTTAATAGTGCAGTTGTTTATTTTTAAAGTAGAGCAGTCTACTCAACCTCACATATAGGTACAATCTCAGTGATAGTATAGATTTAGTTTTTTAAAAATGTATAAACCTAAACTGTGATAAAGTGTGTGCCTTGGGATTATCTCTAAAGAATCCTAGAGAGCTACCTCACTCTTTCAGCTGAGTCCTCCTTTCCCTCGAGGAACAACTCAATACCTTGGTAATAAAGTGATGACTTTGGGAACCTGAGATGTGACATCTCCTGGGAATGCTGAAAGTGAAAAGAGGCTAAGTACATTAAATAATTCTGGATAGTATGATTAACAGTGGCATAAATGCCTATCTACTTATAGTAGGATTACAATACTTAGCATAATACCTATTGGTAGAAAATGGTTGATAATAAATGCATGGCTGATTTAGCCAAGTGTTTAACACTTTTGTACAAAAGGAGTAAAAATAGCAAACCTGATACTTGTTACCCTGTCAAGGTATTTTCTGTCCTTAACAAGGTTAAAGGCAAAATAATGGTGAATTAGACCTTTGAGTTTCTTTTTGCAAAAGCCAAGACAATTACTTTATGTTTACATTTGTCTTTGAACACTGCCATTAACTTTAAATTCTTATGATTATGATTTATATCTTCATAATTTTGTAACTGTTAATTGCTTAGACTGTCTACTTTCTAATGAAACATGGGAAAATATTTATTTTCATTAGTAATATGTCCCAAAGTTAAACAGAATGAGCAGTTTTTGAGTTTTCCTGCAGGAGGATGGCTGCATCTGAAGTATTGGATACTTCAATGCTAGATCAGTCTTTGAATATCTTCCCCAATCTAGATGTCCCATTCACATTTTGCATTTTTATCACCATTATTTCTTATCTGAGATCTTAAGGGCTGTGTTATTTTAAGGCTTTTAGCTATCTTTATCTTCTATTTTCTCGAATGTATATTCAAAGTAGGTAAAAGGAAACAAAACAATAAAGTTTAAAACTTTTTAGAAAACTGGGGCAGGGGATTTAGCTCAGTGGTTTTGCTGCCTGCTGTGCAAGCGCAAGGACCCAAGTTTGATCCCTGGTACCAAAAAAAACAACTTTTTAGAAAATTATTTAAGATGATTTTCAGACTTTATAATTCATTTGTTGCTTTCTAAAGTAGAAGGAAATGTATCCTTACAAATAATATTTCAATGATTAACACAAAAATAAGATATCTGTCTAAAAACAAAACTCTTAAGAAAGGAACAAAGAAACACTTCATTTTGGGGGAAAAAGAATATAAATATCATATGAATATTTAGGCATTAACACCTGAGTAAAATTTCAGTTTCTAGGCAGATATAACACCATTTCTTTCAAGATAAAATAATAATGGTGAGTGAAGGTTTTTTATTTCCCAGTGAGTTTTCAGACTGTCAATAGGGAAAAATATATTCTGTATCATTTCATGTTTTAGTTTTTTTCTTCATTCTGAATAAAATCAGAGGAATGGGCCAGGGATTTAGCTCAGTGGTGCTGCTGCCTGCCTTGCAAGTGCAAGGTCCTGAGTTCAATCTCCAGTACAAAAAAAAAAAACCCAGAGCAATGCTGATGGGTTTTTTTTGTAATTTCTTAAACTTTCACAACATTCACAAGTTTTTTTCAGCACTATGTCTTCACTGATGTCTAAAATAATTTGAGCTTTGACTATTAGATTTCCCACATTGAACACATTCCTAATGCTTCTCCACAGTATGGATTCTCTGATGGTTAATAAGCCTAGAATTCTAGCTAAAGGCTTTCTCACATTCAATGCATTTTTAAGATTTTCTCCAATATGGACTATCTGGTGTTGCACAAAGATGGAACTTCTATTGAACACTTCTTACTCCATACATCAGTAAGGTTTCTCACCACTGTGGATTCTTTGATCAAGAATAAGAGCTGAGCCTTGACTCAAGTGTTTTCCCCATTCTTTCCATATAGTGTGTTGTTTTCTTTGGGAGGGATCTCTCTTTATTTCAAATCTGCCCCATGAGAAATGGTTTCTCCATATTTAAAAATTTCAGCAACCCCTCTATCAAGTGTTCCAGAAACTGCATGAAAAATCTACTGCCAGAACAGTTTCCTGCTTTTGAGCTAGCACTCCATTTTCTGTTCTAGTATGATAAACACAAGTTTCTTAGAGAATGAAGTTCCCAGGATGCCCACTTGAGCTGGTTCTCCACAACATCAGACTTGGAGCTTGGTAATCTCTGAGCTTCTTGTTGAGAAACTATCTCTTCTACTAGCACTTCCTGTTTCCTTCCATGGAGAGAAACTGGCTCTCCAATGTCTCCAATTTACTTTCCAAATCCTGAAGGGCTATCACTGCTTCCTCTCCTTCCTCTGGATGATGCTCTTGAACCCGAATCTGTACCTTCTTGAGTCAGACCGCAACAAACTGCTGCAACACCACCATCCCCAAGATTTGTTCCTTTATATGTATCTCTGGCCTGAGCCATAGACAGCAAAGTTTTCTGGAGGTAGTTCACAGCCTCTCAAGGGCCCCAGTGAATACTGGTAACAAAACTGTATGAATCCATTTCAGAAAAGCTATGTTTTTGGAAAAAATGACTTTATTACTCTTAAAAGAATAGTTAGATATAGAATTCTAAGTTGGAAATAATTTCCCTTTCAAATATTTTATGAAAAAATATAACAAAATTTCATAATGAAATAATAAGAGAATAACAATAGTTAATGCACTATCATTATCTTCAAGACAGTTACTAAGAGTACAAGACAAACCAAAAGGATTTGTACAAAAAAGAAATGAACATATTTCTGTTATTATCCTTTTCAAATTTAGAAACTATTACTCCATTATTTTCTAGCTCCTTGTGCTGCTATTAAGAACCTTGAAACCATTCCAATTCTTGACTCTTTGTAAATATTTTATTTTTAATTTCTGGAAACTTTTGTGAGCTTCTTTGTTCTCTGTTCCAAATTTTCAAGATAATGTGCTTGGGGTGATTTTTAATTGTTTCAATCTGGAAAATTATGTGTTTCAATGGGGGAGGGGGAGTGTATGTGTGTGTGTCAACTCTTTGTCTCTATGTCTCTCAAATGCTTCTAATTTAGATACTGAATCTATTTTACCTTTCTTGTCTTTTTTCTTCTGTGTTCCATCTTTTTTCTTTATGGAGGAAATATAGGCCTTTCACTCAATTTTATCTTCCTATTTTTCTAATGAGAATATTAAAAAATGAAATCTGCTATCACATTTTCAATTTCCAAGTGTGTCTTATTCTGTGAATTAGGTTCTTGTTTCTTGAAAATGAGATCTTCTTTTATCTCTTTGAGGACACACAGAATAGTTTTATGGAGGTTTTATACCCCATCAGAGTCTGTCCAGGTTGCTTTGGTCTGCTTGCTCTGGTCTGTGTCATTCATGCTAGAACCTTAGCTCTGATGTCTGCTGATCCTTAGCTGTCTGTTTCTGTTTAAAAATAGAGCACTAGAGAGTTAAAGTTGATGAAATCTCTGTGCTTGTTGTTTTATTTGGAAGGTGATCTGACTGAATCAGTTTCTAAAAACCTGTTTCCTCCACTTGTACCAACATCTTGAGACTTTTTCACTAGAGCTGGAGAAATTCTGTCTAGAGAAGCATCTTCTGTCCCACTTGCTATGTGTTTGCACCCAGTTGGGGGGGGGGTGGCAAGTGGAAAGAGAATTGAAGGGTCTCAGTATTTGGTGTGCAAATGTTTGTTAGTGGCTAACATTTTCAGCAACCTGTATGTGGAAAGCTCTAGCCCAGAGATATCACATCTTATCCTGCTGCCATCAAGAAGGGGTATAGTCACCCACACCAGGGAAAGTGCTTAGGTTCTACTTGCTACTTAGATAAAATGCAACCCTGGATTCACCTTTAACTTTTCATCTGCCTCCAGAGGTAAATCATGCTGCCAACACTGGTGCCTTGGGAGAACCTGGTTGTTTTCCCATTGCTAGTTTAGAATTCAGCATTCTTGGGTCTGCTATGTCAGGTATATCATACTTTCTGCTTTCCATCTTCCTAAATGCTTCAACTATTTGCCTCTTCTCTCCTTTTCTTTCCTTCTTATCCTTGTGAGTTTTTTTTAATTTCTCATGTTATTGTAATGTATTTTATTAGTACATGTTTGTAGTACCTGATGTTTACATTCATCTTAGGATGTAGGTACATGTACTTAGCATATCTTAATTCTTTTTATTCCCCTTCCCCTCCCCCATTTTCCTTCCTCCATCTCCAGATCCCCTCTCTGTTTGTTTCTTTAGTTCATATTTTTAGTTCTGCTTTACTTCAAGATCTTTCTCCAGTTTCACTTTCACTATTTCTTCTTTTCATCCAGAATTGGGATTGTAACTATGGAATCTTCTTCCACTGACTCTGCAGACATCCTGAGTTATAATACTTCAAGAAGACAATCACAGCAGGATACAGTCTTCAGAGAAATATTCTGCTTTCTTTACAGGTACATCTCTAGCTCAGAAACTGTGGAAGCTTCACTGTCCAGGGCAGATGCAGACAAGTGGCTCACAAGCTGCTTCCCAGAATCCCCTGGTGCAAACTCTAAAAAATATTTAAATTTGTAGGCTTTAGGATGACATTTCATACTTCAAAAAAATAAATATTATACATTATTTCTGTCTTGTGACTTATAATACTCATTTACATTAATACTTTTATTTGTGTAAATTAGAATAACTTTTAACATTTTCAAAATGTTTTAAAGATCTAACATCTCATTTTAGTCTCATAATAATAAAAGCATTTCATTATTCATCCTCACATGTAATAAACTAAGGGCACAGAGTCACATAGCTGGTATGTAATGCAGTCTGAATTCCTACTCCAGTATATCTCTAATTTCAGTGGTTTTTCTACTACATTAAGCTACCTAGATTATTTTATCCAAACTCAGAATAAGTGGGACTTAAGTAAAAAATGAATTAAGAAAAAAGTCACTGGTTTTTATGTTTATTAAAAATAAAGAATACAGACAATTTTTAAATATTCTATGAAGCTGTAAACCACATAAAGCAAATACAAAAATAAAATATAAAAGTGTCTTTCAGAGCCCTAGGGATTATACCAGCTCAAATAAATAGTATTTGTAAAGTACTTTAAGATCATATGCAGAAAGTGGCTATTTAAATGTAATATTTAAACCTATAATCTTCATGCATACAATAGAAAGGCAAATAATAAAGGATATAAGAAGATATCTATTTTTTTAGGGATTATGTATCACACTCCTTGTGTTAGTAAAGACTTTGGTAACTGCTAAAGTCTATTTTTCCTTCTTCATGTTTCTTCTACTGTCCAACAAAAAATAATTGTAAGCTTTAAGGATTTCAGAGTGAGTTATCAATTCATATAGTGACTGTTGTTATTGGTGTTATAGCAACAAAGGTCAACCAATGAAAAGTTTGTGTCTAAACTTTCTATTAATAACAATTTCACAAAATGTATAGTTTCTGGGGGAGCTTGTATATTAAAAACAAAAATCTACATCTTTATGACAAGCAAATAGTCTGTGGTGATAGAAGTCAATCACTTGATTATTAGCATGTTAAAATTTGATTCAGATTCAACAAAGATAGTAGGAGATTTGGGCATATTAGATTCAAAGGCAGTGGAAAATAGGCCTATATGATGAATCTATATGAAGGTGATAAAACTATGTGGAGGATTTAATTCTACAATAACATACATTCCAAGTCTTTCCAATCCATAGAAATGTAGGAATCAAATACTGTACTATGAATCCTGCTCTGTGGGGGAGCCAACAAAGTTTCAAGATAAGGCCCCTCATGGGTGATTGCAGCCTAATTGGGAACATAGAAAAATACCTTACATCCATTTTTTTGTTTGATAAGCAAAGCTAGCTTATAAGGTAGGCATTGTTATCCTAATTTCACAGATGGGGAATTCAGGCTTAGAGAATTTAGGCAAATTGTCCAAAACTTGCACTCTTGTAGGTTGTGGGGGTGGGATTCAAACTCATTGATTGTAAATCTATGTTTTCTTTGTATGTTGCTGCATTGCAACACACAGGAAAAGACATAAATAAAATATAACATTTTAGTAGTAAAATATAGAACTAATTTTAAATGCAGTGGGAATTCAGTGAAATGTGAAACGAATTCAAGTTAGATCTTAATCAGTTCATGTGTTATTCACTAAGGATCTAGTTCCTAAAATGGGCTTTGTAGATGATCTAAATAGAGAAAAGGGAGAGGGGGAGGAATAAGCTCTCTGAAGCACATCTGTTTGGTTGTCTATAAAACAAAGATGATTCTATTCAGCCCACTTCACCATTTTTAGGATCGAATGAGATAGCATATGTAAGAGAATTTTATAAATTACAAAGTATTAATATAATCCATTATTATTACTTGAAAATGGGAATGTGTAAGATGTGTGTACATAAAGCTGACAGTGGGGAACTGGTTTAAGAATGAGCAACTCAACTATCACCAAATCAGAGAATTATAAAATCTTAGAGGGTAGAAAATTACCTCAAATATCATCTAATCTAACGCCCATCTAGTGCCTGTTGAAAAGGTCTGGTGTCTTTTATGGGAACTTATCTGTATTTGTATCTGTATTATAGTGTAGTGGTTCCCCTCCCAAACTGTTAATTATTGAAAGTATTGCCACAGATTTTTTCGTCAATCTTACACATGGAGTAACTAAAATCTTCACTTGAATTCACCTTTTCTTTTACTTTTGAAACTGTTAATGTCAGTTGAAGTGAAAGTGTTATATTATTTCAGTGTAGAATTTTGCTTGTTATTTCAGTTATCTTTTCCAAAACATGAGAACTTCAAGACAGGAAGGAAATCTGCTTGGTTTTCATAGTTTTTGAATTGTATTCCTGAATGCTGTGTCAAGGAATTTGAATTCTAAAGTGAAAACTTTGACTCCTTGGGGAGATTTTCTAACACAAAACACAGAAAAGAGTCATTTGAACCCACAGCTTCATGTTTTAGCTTACTTAATCTGAACGTGAATCTCTATATGGGTGGTGACTCATCTCAAGGAAGACTTTGCCACTAATTTGGACTTTATACTAAGTAATCATTTTAAGTCAGTCTGCAGTATAGGGGTTAATTACAAAGGTAATGCTAGTCATTTTTCTACAACTCCAAACATGCTAAGAAATAACAATATTACAAATGGTAGTTAACCAAAACATTAAAGGTCTTTAAATTAGTAAAACACAGGTGACATTTATTTTCTTCTCATATGTTTTTCTGGTTCCAAATTTTTCTGTAGCAAGTATGTATTACATACGTAACTTAAAATAATTTATTAAGGTGAAATTCACATAACATAAAAGTTAACTTTTTTTTCCAGTACCAAGGACTAAACTCAGGGCTTTTGCCCTGAGCTACATTAACCGCCCTTTTTTAATTTTTTTCTATACATTTTCTAATAAATTTTATTTTATTTTATCGCATTCCTCCCCCATCAAGCCCCCTCCACTCCCTATGTACAAAAGCTTTGCTTCTATTTTTTCTTTCTATTTTCACTTTTTTTCTTGTCCCTTCCATCCTTTTGCCCACAGGGTCTTGCTAAGTGGCCCAGGTTGGGCTCTAATGTGTAATCCTCCTGTCTCAGCCTTCCAGATTAAAAATAACCAATTCATGGGCTGGGGATTTAGCTCAGTGGTTCCGCCGCCTGCCTCGCAAGCACAAGGACCCGAGTTCAATCCCTGGTACCAAAAAAAAAAAATAACCAATTCAAAGTGAACATAGTATTACACAACCACTTCTATCTAGTTCAAAATATTCTACCCCTTCAAAATAACTCCCTTTACCTATTAAGCAGCTCCTTCTAGTCTTTGCTACCCTTAGGCCCTAGGAACCATAATCTATAATCTGTCTCTATGGATTTATCTCATGTGAATATTTAATGTATGTAGAATCATAAAATATGCAACCTTTTGTGCCTGACTTCCTTAATTTACCATAAATTTTCAAAATTCTTCTATCATATAGCATTTATTGGTATTTTATTCCCTTTTATATCTAAATAATATTTATTTGTTTATCTAATCACTCACTGATGAACATTTTGGTTGTTTCTCCTTTTAAGGTATTGTGAATAGTACTGCATTAAACATGTGTGTACATGTACTTGTTTGAGGACATATTTTCAGTTCTTTAAGGTTATACAAATAATACCAAAATTATAAAGTTATATGGTAATTCTTTTTTAATTTTATGAGGAACTGTCAGTTTTCCACATCAACTAAGGCATTTTAACTTCCTACCTGCAATATATGAGGATCTCAATTTCTCTACCTCCTTATCAACACTTGATATTTCCTGAGATATTTCCCTAATGAATGTGAAGTAGTATATTATTGTGGTTTTCATTTACATTTCCCTAATGGCTATTAATAGTAAACATCCTTTTTTGTGCATGTTGGCCTTTATATGTTTTTTTTTAAAAGAAACATCTGTTAAATCCTTTGTCCACTTTTGAAAATGAGGTTGTCTTTTTGTTGTAGAGTTGTTAAAGTTCTTTATGTATTCTGAATATTAATGTCTTATAATTTAAAAATACGTTTTTCATTCTGTAAACTGTCTTTTCACTTTTCTGATTATGTCTATTGCTTCATGAAAGGATTAACTTTTATGAAGTCTAATTAATCTATTGTTATTTTACTTTTAGTATCATATCTAAGAATTTGTTACCAAATTCAAGGTCATGAAAACTTATCCCTATGTTTTCTCCTAAGAGTTTTACGATTTTTTTTATTTAGGTCATTAAATTATCTTGTTAATTTTTGTATATGATGTGAATGGAGGGGTCAAACTTCTTTCTTTTGTATGTTGCAGAGAGGATTATTATGGTGCAGGTCTTACATTTTTGATAGACTGTGGCACAGATTAAGGGGAGTCTTGGGATATAGTAGTATCTCTTTAAGAGATCAAACAAATGGATAACCACTGTGAGACAGAATGAGGATTCTGGCATCTGGCAGTGTGTAGAGGCCTGACCACATCCTGAGAGCCCCCTGTTCCTGATCCCATAAATTTTCTTCTAGTGAGTAACAGCCAGGATTGTCCTTTGCATCTTGGTTTGTCTGCAGCAGTTGGAGGCAGTCCCAAGATATAACCTTATAGTCTTTTATAAAGGGCTTTTCTTTAGTAAAAAAGTTGTTTGTCTGTAGGTCTTTTCTGGGTAGCCAATATGGCCTTTAAAAACCTGCAGGGGTGCAAGGACATTTGGTCTAGTCTGTCTGGCAGCTTCTTTGGCTGTTTGATTGGCCAGTTGGTTTCCCTTTGTAATAAGATCTTGTCCTTTTTGGTGTCCTTGACAGTGTATGATGGCTACTTTTTGTGTTCCCAAATTGCCTCTAGGAGTTGGAGTATCTCCTTTTTATTATTATTATTATTATTATTATTATTATTATTGGTACCAGGGATCGAATTCGGGTCCTTCCGCTTGTG